TTTTTAAATTATTAGTATCGAACATTCTATTAACATTATTATTATTAATCTGTATGTGTAACATTTCTGAAAATAATCGTTTAAATCTATTATTCACAACGTACAAAATTTTAACATTATCAAAATCAAAGGATTGCGATGTTTCTTTCATATATTCTACCAGTGCCAATTTGTCTCTTAGGTATTTGCAATCACTTCTATGTTCATTCACTTTTAATTTGAGGTGTCTGGAAGACTGCCCCACATAACAAGCCTCACCATTACTTGAGTAAATTTTGTATACAATATTGAGAAAGTATTAATAACAAGTTAATAGTTCTTCATCTTTACAATAAATTTGCTCCAATACCTGAAAAAAATTTTTCACAAAAATAAAACTACAGTAATTTTGAAATGTACCGATAAGTTTTCTACATTCATAAAATTAGGCAAGGACCAAGTTAATGTCAGCGAGAAAAGTAATATTGTATATAAAATAATTTCAAGTAATTGTGAGGCAGCGCCGATGTCAAATTTTATTGTTTATTTTTTTTAAATACTATTAGTTAATTTTAATTCTTGTGTAGATATTATTTGAACCTGATAAGGGCCTTAAAACTTGTTTCTGTACGGGCCAAAACGTCGTTCAATAATAAACAGAAGATAGCAGTATAACCATTTGAGTTCACTGATTATTTATTAATCCATCCACTGCTATTAGAGTACGCCTAATGCTCAATTTAAAAATCATGTTTTTCATTACTACAAATTAAAAAAAAAAATTGACTCCATTGGTTACGCCATTAATATCTTACTAATATATAAAGCAAAGTCGCTAAGACCGTTGTAAACGCTAACCGCGAAAACTACTGATTCGGGTTTGCTGAAATTTTGCACACTGATAATACTTCAATTTGACAAAAAATTGAACACTATTGAAGGCATTTCAAGAAAATACTTATCCATAAGTTTTAACCATTTTTTAAGCATTTTTAATTTTTGCTTTCAGGGCCAAGATCCAAGGGGGAGTCTACGATTTCTGGGGTCCTTCGATTTCATAGTGGGATCTTGTAGTATGACAAAAAACAAGCATTTCTTACTATAGGCACTATATCTTGATTGAACTTCGAAAGTCCAAGAATTGAATTTTGAGCTTCATTGATTTTTAAAATAAAAAATTGTTTTTTTGCGTACTCAAACACAAGAAATATGAAACAAATACAAAAAAATTCGTATTNCGGACGACACTCTTCTCTAAGGGGGAAGGGACCCAGGTGTCCATTCACCCTGAATCTCGACGAGTGCGATAAAAAAAAAAATTAATTCCAACCGATGCCATCTCTGCCACAATATCAGGAGACATATCTAGCGAGAGCACAATCTGCTCCAACTCATCAGAGTTGTGTGGTAGCTCCACCATCCCACCTGGTGCAGTTAGAGAATTTGTGGCTACAAATGTAAGCAAGGGAAAACAAGCCCTGAGCTCTGAGGGGCATGGGCAGCCACAACGGCTACCTTCTTGGTCGTCACGTCCCCGACGCGCTTACCCACATGTTCCCGTCTAACAATGATCGGTTGGTTATCCAGGGAACGACCCGAAGACGAGATATTCTTTGGTCAGCGGCGTACCTCCCTCCATCACAGTCTCCGTACATCGAGACTCCAAGGGTAAGAATCAAGCAACCCGTAGCCAACTCTTCATCATCAGGAATGATAATAAAAAATTGCCTGGAAGTTTCACCACTGGCGCTTTTTAGGGCCATTATAAGTATTTACGTTTCCTACTTAACCATCAATTTCATCGGTTCTTTTTAGGATCCACCTAAGTGTAAACTACCTTGCCAAAAACTACATTTTTACTATCATTTCCGGAAGCGATTCGTCGACTAAAAGACTATATTAACTAAAGACGGGCACTATTAAACCTAGTCAGCCATTCACTAGCTGACGTCACCTGCGGAGTTATTCATCGCAAGGCTGGAAAACCCGGTGACCGACGACCCTATATTACCCTCTCGACTCGAAGCATACAACCACATGGAAGAAACTTTTGAACGTACAGAGCCCAGTTACGCAGGCTAGAGAAGTTCAAACTGCTTTGAACTCCTACTGCACAAGTGTACAGGCCGCCTTGACTCAAAGATCGAGTCACACGAGTTCAAAACAGCGTTCAACTGAGACTGCACAATCATGCGCGCCGCGTAGCCTGTAGTTTGAGCTTGTACAGTATGGCATAGCATTGAACTGCAGAAGCTTGAGGGGGGGGGGGTACGTAAGCCCAACGGTTGTGCTCTCACAGCACAATGTCCAGGCTCAGCGAGCTTAGTGCTTCTCCGAGCTCTCTCTCACCGAATTTCGAGCTATCAGCAGACAACTTTTGGGCTTCAATGAATACAGCCCTTCATTACACAGAACGCGTACAGGTAAATGAGTTAACATTAATATTTTATATACATACATGCCTGTGAATAATTTCATAAAACTTATTCAACCTTTATGTAACTCATTAATATAGTATAAAATTTTTAGGGTTAATTATAGCATTTTGACCTATAGGTACGTAATATACTATATTCGTTTTCACTTAGCTCAGATACTGGAAAAAATTGTGTTACTCATTTTTAAAATGACCATGCTTAGTTTGTACGGTCAAAATGTTATAATGAACCCTAAAAATTTTATACTACATCAATGAGTTACATAAAGGTTAAATAAGTTTTATGAAATTATTCACAGGCATGTATGTATATAAAATATTAATGTTAACTCATTTACCTGTATGCATTCTGTATAATGAAGGGCTGTATTCATTGAAGCCCAAAAGTTGTCTGCTGATAGCTCGAAATTTCGTGAGAGAGAGCTCGGAGAAGCACTGAGCTCGCTGAGCCTGGACATTGTGCTGTGAGAGCACAACCGTCGGGCTCTTGTAGTCCCCACCCCCCGAGCTTCTGCTGTTCAATGCTATGCCATACTGTACAAGCCCAAACTACAGGCTACGCGGCGCGCATGGTTGTGCAGTCTCTACGGAAGCTTGTAGGTGCCACCACTCACGCATGCTGAGAGGGCGCTAGTGAGAGAAAAAACTCGCACGATCGCAGTGCTCGCACGCTCGCACGATAGCACTGCGATCGTGATCGTAATCGCGGGTGGTCGGATTGAAAATTGGTACTGCGGTGGTTCGATTGCAGTAAAGAACTCGTGCGACCTGCAGCTCTGGCGTATACTGCACTACATTTGCTGCAAGTAAGGACTTGGGTATAGGATACACCTTCTCTGAGGCAGGGTCTTAGTGTACCTCCATCTTCACTGACAACGTGGCGCACCATAACCTGCACCATAACCTCAATTAAGTGCAAGAAATTAATTTTTCATCGTTTTTCTGGAGAGCGGTAAAAATTACATAAATATTTATATACACTTGTTGTGTCAAACGATTTGTTTATTTTCATCAGACCTTTGATACAAAATTAATTTCATCAACTCTGCTTATAGATGTTAAGCAAACTGGCAAGTAGCTTGACATACGTCAAAGTCAAGCATGAGGAACAAGAGTTGTTCATAAAAGTAGTTAATGGCTGTGTAAGCTTTCGAGAAGTTAAACGGTACTTCCCATTAGCTTCTGGATTAAAGTACGACGTCAAGGAAGGTATCGTTGCAGTTACATTCGTCGACGATGATAGGATGGAAATTGATCCAGACGTGCTGGATTATGACGTGCACGTTACATCGTCAGGTGCGTACTGTACAAAATCAATAATTATTATTTCTCAATCGTCTAAGTTTCACGTATTATTTAAGTAGGAACAGATGTTAAGTCTTCTGATAAATCATCCAAGGATATTCGTTTTGAGAAGATGATGATAGCCATTAAAGAAAGCAGTATAAATTCAAAAAAAAGCTCGCTCTTCTAAAGTCAACGCGCCTGTGCCTATAAAGAAAGGTAAATTTGAGGACAGCGACTCTGAATGTCTGTTAGAAGAAAAAGTAAAAAAGCGAATTATTTACATTCAGTGGAAACACAGGGATAATAGCGCTACCAACTACAAAAATATGACTTTTTTATGCCCTTAATTTAAGATTGAATTAAATGGTCTTCAGGATTATAGTGTTGCAGATTTAAAAAGAGTAATAGTCAACAGTCTGCATGAATTGACGGTTAAAGCGATAATTAATTAATCTAACCATGCACTTGGCTACGGCAATGAAAAAAACCTAAAAATCATTGATGATTTTTTTGATCTAACTGGAGAAAAGTGTGGCTTTTGGACTTTTTCTAACATAATAAAGGATAACGGGGGCCGTGTGAATATATTTTTATTATCTACTGTAAACAAAACTTTTTCACAATCACATGAAGTGCTTTCTGAATCAGTTCTTAAATCTATAGAACCGTCACGTAAGGAAAGTTCATCTATTTTTCAATCCAAATCTCAGTCTACGTCACTAAAGGATGTCCCTACTGAATTAGCACAAATAGAAGGAAAGAATGATTCTAGCCTCAAGCATGTGAGTACTCATAATAACGGCAATAAAAGTACAGATTGTACTAACAACGAATTTTTACAGTGTTCCTCGAGCCAAGCTTCAAAACATCTGAAAAGTCTTAATCTTAGTAAAGGCAGTTCTAAGTCTATAACGAAGATGAGTAGTAATAATAGTGATCTACCTCCTTCACTAAAAGTTGTAAGAACCGGTGATAAAAAAATGGAGAATGTAAGCACATCTTCTATATTTAAACTATCTTCATGCTCGTCTCTAAAAAAACAGACGGAAGTAACTAGCTAAAAAACCAAAAAAACACTTTGCAAAGTTTAGATCTACACTTGCCTATACTAACTGAAAAAGATTTAATATTTTCATCAACTGTTTTGGGGAGTGGAGCTCAAGGGATAGTAAGAATAGCTCAGTTACACGGGACTACAGTTGCTGTCAAAACAATACCGGCAAAAGCAAAAGACAAACTAACGCTACGTGAAGTTAAGATGATGGAAAAAATACGGCACGCTTCATTTATGAACATAATGGGAGCTTGTGAAGGACCTTCATGCTTTCACATTGTCATGGAATTTTTTGAAGGGAAAAATCTACAAGACATAATATTTACTAAACAAAACAAACAATACACCTTAAACTTGGTTAAAAAGTATAAAATTGCCAAGCAAATAGTGACTGCAATGAAGTATATCCATTGCTTGAATCCACCTATTATTCATCGCGATATCAAGCCTTCGAACATTATGGTTAATAGTAACCTGCAGGTGAAGATTTGCGACCTAGGACTGTCTAAAAGTGACGATTTGAAAACTGACTTGCTAAGTACAGTAGTAGGTACCCTACGAGGTACTTTGACATTTATGTCACCAGAACTATTACTAAATGAAGAGTCACCATCAATACAATCTGATGTTTGGGCAGTCGGTGTAACTCTCGTAGAGCTCTATAGCGGTAAAGCAGCATGGATTTTACGACGTTTCAGTATACTTGAGGACATAAAAGAAAAATTCAAGAACAGGAATATACCACCAAATATAACGAAATTACCCGATGGCTTACAATCTGGTGTTAAAGGTTGCTTTGAGTACGAAAAGGAAAAAAGAATTACAATGTCCGAGTTGTATACTTATTTTAAAAATTAAGTTACTTTTAACATGATAAAGAAAGTATAACGTTAAGGTTAATGTTTTAATGACTAATTTTATTTAAAATATTCAGTAAGTTCCAGTTACGAATATGCAGTTACGCTTGCATGACAAATATTCCTAGTATTTAGGGTTATGAATTTTTTAGGCTTCCTTCAATTGTGATAAAGCACACAACTTTTTGTGTTACTTTTATTTTTTTAATTTGTTAAAATTATGTTTGTACTCTAAGTTAATAAATAAAATTGAAGTGCATAGAAAAAAAATAAGTATTTTCATTTTTGATAGAAAACTTATTCAGAAAAATTTCACTTGTTATTTTTGTTCTATGAGTGTCCAGCTTCAATTACCATATACACATGTGTATACTACAAGAATTCATGCTGCAGGAAATGCAGGAAATAACATATAAAAAAAGTAAATCCAACATCATCAAACCTATTATGAGTTGTGTCTTAAGTGTCCTTTTTTTCGGTTCCGGTAACATCAAACACCAATGCTTAACAAGTTTTTTTTTTAAAATTGTCTTACAGTTCATTTTTTCGTCTTTATTTCAAGTAAGGGTACGTACAAAGTTGGAAATATTGTTGCTTGATCGAGGCTTTTACTGCAAACAAATTTAGTAGATTTTTGTAGAACCTTATCAGTAAAAAAAAAATTGAGCAGTGTATGTATGTACACATAATGAAAAAAATAAATATGTGATAGAGGATGAATGTATTCCATTTTGATGCCAAATGCAGGTTTATGATGAGCACAGCAATGCCCTTTTCTTATTTAAACAAATATCTATGAAACTGACGCAAGGCCCTGAAGAGATTAAATCTTGCAGAAGCGTACTATGATCTTCTTCGTTGCTTGTGATCAAGAACTTTAATACACAGCTGTCACAGCTAACTATTAAAGTTGTATCCGCAAAATGGACGTATTTACTTTATCACTGGGTTGATCATCCATGCCAAAGTGTCCACGTATGAATTGGCTCAGATGATCTGGATCTGATATGTATGAGACATATTTTAATGGAATTTTTCTGCTACCTGTTAAAAATAAAAAAGTTATTTATGAACTACTCAATGTACTTTTAATGTATGTGGACAAGAGTAGATTGTGTGCAATGCTTACCAAATTTTTGTAAGTGAACGTACAGTCGTCAATGCTCTATGTATATTTATTTCATCAACAAATCTGAGAGATCGCTTGCTGTTTGTGATGCGAGTGATTAATATCGAAGAGTTTTTGATTGGCCTCGTTTTGTTTATCTCAGTGGTATTGCAACATCGATTACAAATTACACAGGTACAGCAAGGTGCAGCTGTACACATAACGGCGGCACACGTCAATTTTTTTTTTCAAACAACAGAAATGTAATTAAAAAATTAAGTAAGAAATATTTCGAAGAAGTAACGCCACGATCACTCCCCCTGCGCGATTTATTCGAAAAATCGATATCCAAGCCTGAGAAGTATGCCACTTTACATGTTTACTATCAGTACATTAAGATACAAATGTCACTAATACGAACTGTCAGGCGATTCCCACACACATACGATTTGTTTCTTGAGAATCATTATTGTAACCGCCTTTTTTTCTTCAATTATTATTGTGAACAGTCGGCGGGGCTGGTGGTTAGTTATTTGTTTTAATAGTGGGTACGCTCATGCTAAGACCTATGGTATGTACGGTAGGTGAGGTATGCATCAGGATCAAGGATACGGGGTGATAGATAAAATTTTTTACTTGCGTCCATTTTCTGTTATCCTCCTTGTTATCCCTCTTCCTATTTCTCGTCGCTTGCTTCCTTCTTGGGCACTTCAGGTACACCAACCACAGTAACATCCTTCAACTTCTCTATGTACGCACTCATTTCTCTTTCGTTTAGGCCTTATACATTTTAGCCGTAGCTTCGTATTTGCTTTCAACTTCGGGAGCGATATCGGATCATCTCTTGATAACTCCTTGGCAATTTCACCAACTCCATATTTACAATTTAGCATTTTCACCTTTCCGCGTTCATCACTGTACACCAGAAAAATTGTGACCTGGGTAGGGGGAAGGGAAAACAAAATTACTTTTAAAAAAAATAACATAAACAACGATTTAGTGTATTTCATGCTAATGGCACAAAGAACAATTTGGCTTTTGTATATTTCTGCTCGAGGTACGAAATTTTCTGTGCAAAGGGCGCCAGGTACTATTTTGCGCTTACAATTACTTCGAGCCCCAGGGCCATTGCGATTGTGGTAGTGTTTGTGCTAAATCCTCCAGGGTGATTACTAGTCTTGAGGGTCATTGAGAAGCAATTCCCAAGGCTACCATTACCGAAAATCACAACTACCTTCCTAGGGCCTACAGTAATTGAAAGACGCAAAGGCTCTCTTGTATTCTGCATCCACGGTAAGGAAAACATCTTAATTTTGTTTGGTTTTATCACTTACAGAGATCACGTAGGTGCATTTGGAT